TACTTTAATTATAAGGGTCATAAAGTTTTACAGTACACATTCACATTTTCAGATGAAGAACTATATCCAAGATAAATTTAAGAAAGTACTAGACACTTCTATTTGTATATCTACCACTTGAGACAATTAAATATTTTATTTTTGAAAAACACATTTACAGTTTTGCTAGCAGTTCTAGATGGGAGAGGGGAACAAAAAGTTTCCAGCTACAAAAGGGTACTCTCTGCTGATGGCAAAAAGAGCATATAATAATAACAACGATAACAATAAAAGTATTTATATAGCACTTTAAGGCTCCCAAAGCACATTCCTTCAGTTCTTCCTTGATTTCTAACCATTTTAAACTTGTAGCTATACAGCTCTTGTGAATGTCTTGATAAATTAATGCCTAAATATTTGGCATAATTTGTCTTTATTGTAAAAGGTACTTCTATCACTTTCTTTTGATTCTTGGTCATAGTAGATCTCTTTTTTTTCATATTTCCCTTTTATCCCTAAATAATAAGTTCACATGGTCTATTGGGTTCAATTTAGGGTTTATTGGTACAATTTAGAACCCCACAAGATAAGTCAAATCAACAAGCATTTGCCAAGTGCTTATTACTAAGTGCCAGACAATGTGATGAGTAGCAGGGATACAAAGAAAGACAAAAATCAGTCCCTCTCTACTCTGAAGGAGTTCACAGTCTAATGGGAGTAACATGCAAACAACTGCATACAAACAAGAAACATACAGGATAAACTGGAGATAATCTCAAAGGGAAGCCACTAAAATTAAATTAATATGGACCAGAAAAAGCTTCTGGTAGAAGATGAGACTTTAGATTTTGAAGGAAGCCAGTTAAGCAACAGATGAAGCTGAAGAGGGAGAGAATTGGAGGCTTAGTGGACATCTAGTAAATATGTCCTGAGATGGAGTATCTCATGTGAAGAACAGTAAGAAGGCCAGAGTCACTGAATTGCAGAGTGTGTGGAAGGAAGAAAGGTGTAAAAAGACTGGTAAGATAGTAAAGGCCAGGTTATGAAAGGCCCTAAAAGTCAAACACAAGATTTTATATTTGATACTGAAGGAAATAGGGAGCCACTGGAGTTTATTCAATAGAAAGGTGACCTATGCTTTAGGAAGGTCAATTTGACAGCTGAGTGGAGGATGGACTGGAGTAGGAAAAGACGATGAAAGGAAACCAACCAACAGGCATGAAGTAATTAGGGCCTGTACCCGTGGTAGCAGTGTTCAATGAAGAGGTGGGCTTATATGATAAGAGAGTCTTCCCAATAAATCTAGCTTCAGATTAAAAGGGTCTCTCTTGTTAGTAAATCTAAATTGCCTTTAAACCACACACTCTTATTGATTGTTATAATCAATTTTCACTTATTGTTGTGGACGAAAGCAATAGCATGAAAAGTCAAAAAATACACAACGAGAAAGAACTGTGTGAGGTATATGGTAGCAGAATTTTTTTCCTAATTATGTTTTCTTAGGGTTGTGTTTCTTGAACGTACAAGTAACAATGAAGGAACGGAACCAATTTGGAATGAAACATTTTGCCACAAATAATCCCAAATTGTGGATAACCCAACCATTATTAAACTGGAAGTTGAAAACTATATTAGAAAACATTATTTGGAGTGAACATTGCCACATAATATAAATGTAATCACTGGTATTTACATGCTTCTACGTTTTTAAAATGTATTGATTTCTTTTTATACTCTACCTGAAGCAAAGTAATAAAAAAAAGAGTAGGGCATGGAAGGAGAGAGAGGGAGAGGAAGAAAGAGAAAGAGACAGAGAGAAACATAAAGGAGGGATGAGTATGGTCTAATATAATGAATGTTGAACTGGGAACCAGAAGACATGGGATTGTGACCCAGGTTCTTCATTTATTAGTCATGTGGTCTTGGGAAAGTCATTTAATTCTCTCTGGGCTTCAGTTCCCTCAACTACAAAAATCGGGGGGAAAAAACTAGATAACTTTTATGTCAGGTATTCCCAGCCTTTTCTTTTTGTCACCTACCTCTTTGGCAGGTTGCCAAATACTATTTACCCCTTCAGAGAATAATGCTTTTAAATGCACAAAATGAAATATATAGGATTACAAAAGAGACTAATTATGTTGAAATATTGTTATCGAAACATTTCTTTTTTTAAATAACAAGTTCATGGATACCAGGTTTAAAAAAAAGCACTCCTACTCTAAGGTCAACCTGGTTCTAAAATATGATGATTTCATTAGTATAGAAGGGGGAAAAATCTTTCCTTCAACTTTGCCATCCACATAACTACACATGTTGCCACAAATCTGATCAAATCTGCCTTATTCCTTAGAAAAGTGCTTCTCCAGAGGGAATAGAGCATCACCACTTACTTTCAAGCAAGCTGAGATGGGTGTTAAGTAGAAGCCAGTTATCACTGAAGTACTGCACTCCATAAAGGCAGAAAAAACAAAGTATTAAATCAGTCACACAATTTTTTAAAGTGCCAAAACATTCCCAGTGCTTAGTTCCCAGAAGCATTAAGACGACAAAGTGTTAGTGTGCCTCCCTCCCCACCCTGAAGTAAGCCTTCAGATCATCTTTCGGAAAAAGCTAGACATTTGGTTCCCAGGAATATCTTAATTTCCCACATAAACCTCAGCATTCAAGCCCTGAAAGCCAATATAATTTAACTATGCCATTTTGGTTTACCTCTTTCTCCATCCACTAGGGTTAAAAATACCACCTCCAACGTGGTCTGACATTCTGGGGACAATTCAGCTGCCATTTCATTTATAATATTAACATGTTTCCTTAGCAACCCTGTACCCCCATCTGGCAACACATGGCTAAATTCTGATATCACATTCCATATCCATAATAAAACCTGGCTACAATGGTATTTATTATTCCACTACCATCATTCACCATCTCAGGGGGATCTGTTTCCAGTCCCTTAAAACCAAGTGCATCTGATCACTGTGGTATGTCTCCATCATCACAGTCCTGTTCTTTGTCTTTCAGAACTTTCTGGTTTTAAAGCATTTCATTCAACTAATTTAGCTGTAGGCCTTTTCTTTTTGTACATTTGTATATGGAGAAGGCAGCTTTGGCATAGTTGGGAAAGGAAGGGAACAAACTTTTATTAAGTGCCTATTATGTACAAGCAGTATGCTAAGCACTTTAGAAATATTCTCATTTGATCTTCACAACAACTCTAGTTATGATCCCTCATTTAACACTTGAGAAAACTGAGGCAGACAGAGTTTAAGTGATTGCCCAGGTTCACACTGGGCAATAATAAGTGTCTAAGGCTGGATTTGAACTCAGGTATTCCTGACTCCAGGCCCAGGGCTCTAGGGGCCACCTAGCTGCCTCCTCTAAGACATATCCCCCCCGCCCAAAATGGGATTCAAGTTCTACCTTAGACACATACTGACTATGTGCCTGTAGTCAAGACACTTCTCAATGTCTCTCAGTAAACTTGCTAAAACTATGAACTGCAAAATAGTTACACATTTGCATTGGCAGAAATTCCCTGCACCAGTGTAATCAGGTGAGCTCCTTGAGACCAAAGGCTGTCTTTTGATTTTCTTTGTATCCCTAGCGCTTAGCACACAGTTGGCACCTAATAAATGCTTATCAACCGAATGAAAAAATAAGAAGAGGAAACATGAGATATTAAAAGAAATGTGGGAAGACATATGAACTGATACGGAGCAAAGTAAGCAGAACCAGGAGAACACTATAATGATTACAACAGTATAAACAAAACAAACAATAAAAGAAAGCCAAACTCCTCAGTGTAATAATTCTTGTAGCCCAGAAAACAGAAGATGAAATGAACTTTTCTGATTCCACTTGAGCAATGGAGCAGCTACAAGAGAAGAATGAGGATGGGAGTGATAGGTGGACATGGGAATAACTATCTAGAATGACTACGATGTAAAAACTATTTTTATTCATAAATTAGCTCTTAGGTCAGGATATTTTTGTTGTTAACTAAGTTTTATTAAACTACACTCCACTCCTTGAACTCTTCAATCAAGCAACACTGGCCTAGGAGCTGTTGCTTCATACATGATGAGCCATCTCCTGTCTCCAGGCCTTTATACTGGCTGTCCCCCATGCCTAGATTTGTACATAGTTGTTTGCATGATGCCTCCCCAGTAGGGGAACTCCTAATGATCTCCTCAAGATCAGGCACTGTCTTTTGTTTTTCTTTGTATACCCAGTGCTTAGCACAGTGTCTGGAACATAATAGGTGCTTAATAAATGTTTATTGACCCAAAGGGCTATAAAACTGTGCATATCATTTGAATCCAGCAATACCACTGTTAGGTCTATATCCCAAAGACATCCAAAAAAAAAAAAGAGAAAAGGACCTATTTGTACAGAAATATTTATAGCAGCTCTTTTTGTTATAGCTAAGAATTAGAAATCAAAGGAATGCCCCTCAGTTGGGGAATGGCTAAAAAAATTGTGGTATATGACCGTGATGGAATATTGTGCTATAAGAAATGATAAGCAAGATAATTTCAGAAAAACCTGGAAAGTCTTACATGAACTGATACAAAGTGAAGTAAGCAGAACCAGGAGAACATTGTACACAGTAATGGCAATATTGTACAATGAAGAATTGTGAATGACTTAGCTATTCTCAGTAATACAATGATCCAAGACCATCCCAAAGTACCAATGATGAATCATACTATCCATCTCCAGAGAAAGAACTAATATTGTCTGAATAGAGACTGAAGTATGCTATTTTTCACTTTAATTCTTCTTTTATTCGAGTCTTCTTATACAAAATGACTAATATGGAAATATTTTACATGACTGAATACATATAGCTTCTATCTGATTGCTTACCATCTCAGGGAGGGGGAAGGAAGGGCAGCAGAAAGGGATAGAATTTGGAACTCAAAATTATCATGAAAATTTCTTTTTTTTTCTTTTTATTTCTTCTCCCCCCCAATTCTAAGAATCACATAATTTTTAGTGGTTTAAAGATATTAACTTACTTTTAGTACTCTAAATGTCAGATTCTTGTCCAACGACCAGTAAGTAGACATATTCCTGTAGAAACGGAATAACAACGATCTTGACATTTGCAACACAAATGAAATGAAAAGGCAAAAGGAAGTTGCAACTAAATGGGAGGATGGCTCATAGGTTCTCCTCAGAGAAACATATAAAAGACTTAATGGACATGGTTTTACTGTGTGTTTGAAGACATCAAAAAACAATATTTCACAGGACATTTAATGGTCTAATACTGCAGTGCTGATGCTAAATATTTCCAAAAGATTAGTCTGAAAATAATTTCAGTTGATACATCAATATTTGTTGTAGAGGCTGAAGACATAGAGAAATCCTATGAATTAAACCAAAATATACTTTGATACTCCATGATCCCAATGTAAATATAAGCATGGGTGAGGAAAACCTATACTATGTAAAGAGAGGCCCAAGACTTGTAGACTACAATGAAACTTTACATCTATAGATTTTGAGCACTTTTATCAAAACAAAAAATCTGGAGGGCAATGAACATGGCAAGCCCTAAATAAAATACCAAGTTATGCTAGACTAAGCTAATTTCTTATTTATGACAGGATTATACAAATAGTTTAAAGAAATTCTATAGACATAGTTTACCTAGATTTCATCAAAGTTCTTGGTAAAATATCTCACACTGTTCTTGTGGAGAAGAGGGAGAAATAGGGATTAGAGGATAATATAATTAGATGAGTTAAGAATAGAGCACTGAGCTGAATAAAATGAAATTAAATGGAGATAATCATAAAGTGTTCATTAAAAAAATCAACTTTATCAGACTACAAGTTCAATAAGTCACCAGTATGCTGTGTCAGCCAAAAAAAAACCATGTTTTTGTACTGTACTAGGTACATTTTGGGTGAGAATATAACTTCCAAAAATAGAGATTTGACAAACTTATTGTGTTCTACTATCCTTTGGCCTTATCTAGTGTATTATATTTCATTCTGGACAATGTGATTTAAGAAAGACATCAATAAGTTGGAAAATGTTCAGAAGAGGGCAACCAGGATTATGAATGACCTTGAACTCACATCATATGAAGATCAACTAAAGGAAATGAGTGGGCATGTTGTCCAGAGAGGGGAAGACAGAGGGGAAACATGACTTCTGTCTTCAAATATCTGAATAGTTATAATGCAGAAGACAGATTAGACTCACTCTGTTCGGCCTCAGAGGGCAGAACCAACAGCAGTGGTTGGAAGGCACAAAGATATAAATTTAGTCTTGATTTCAGGAGAAAAAAAAACCTTGCTAATAATTAAAGCTGTCCAAGAATAAAATGGGCTACTTCAAGAGGTGATTTCCTTCCAAATTGCAGGTCCTCAAGAAGAGATTAGATGACACCTTGTCTGGTATGTTATAGTCAGGATTATTTGTGTACACTTTGGAATAGAAGGCCATCAAAGTCCCTTCCAAATCTCAAATTCTGTGATTTTTCTAGGCAATGAAATAGAAGTCAAATAAGATAAAGTTCATATAAAAATTTATATTCTAGTATTTTGATAGATATAACATGAAACTGAGTAAATACAAGGTATGTAAGAAGTAATACAAAGTAATTTCCAAAGGCAGAAGATGCTAGTAACTTGGGGAGGGGGGAGTTGAGAAGTAGGAGAAAGGAGAAGAACCAGCAATTACATTGTTTAGGTGGTGACTGAGCTGTGTGCTTTGAAGGATGAATGGAATTCTATGAGATGGGGTTGATAAAGTACATTCCATTCTTGAGGAATACCTTAACTCCAAGGTCAGAAGAAGAAGAAGGAGAAGAAAGAGAAGGAGAAGGAGGAGAAGAATGAGAAGAAGGAGGAGAAGAAAAAGAAGGAGGAGGAAGAGGAGAAGGAGGAGGAGGAGAAGGAGGAGGAGGAGGAGGAGGAGGAGGAAGAGGGTTATTTTCAGCTCCCCCATTAAAAACCTGCAGTCTGTTACCAAATTCAAATTCTACCACTTGTAATGTTCTCAATAGCACCAGAGACCCCCAGCTAACCTCAAGGAAGACAATCCATTTGTGCAACTACAAAATTAAAATTTAAGGAAAGAACTCAAAATTCTGTCCTATAGTACACAAATATAATTAAATGCCAGAGTATATTTCAATAATAAACATAAGGGAATAGACAGGGGTATTAACATTCTTCCCAAATAGGAATTTAGACAAACAGCACAGATTGAAAGGCGATTCTGCTCTACTATATGCCATTTCAAAATTTTAATTTTGAAGAGCAATACTGACTCATTCTCAGAGATAATGACAAGCCTGTTTTGACCTGGTAACACCTCCGTGAAAGGAGGAAAATATATGAAGCACTTGAGAAGACACTGAAAAATTTAAGACTTTCTTGAAATATTCAGGGTTTAAGAATTTGGTTTTGGAGCTCCAAGTAACAACTGTGCAGAAGCTATGATAGAACATTATTGATCAACTGTAATACTCTCCTCCCCCCTTTTCTTTTCTTTTTTTCAATCTGGAGCATGCTCATTCAAGAATAAGTAGTTAGGTTTGACAACAGCACAAGAGGACCGGAGAAATGAGTCTGTAAAAGCATCAGTCAATAAATATTTATTTAGTGCCCATGATGTGCCAGGTACTTTCTTAAGTGCTGAGGATACAAAGAGGCAAAAGACAAACCCTGCTCTCAAGGAGCTCATAATCTAGTGGGCAGAAGATGCAAACAATTATGACAAACATGCTACATGGAATAAACTGGAAATGATCAACTGAAGAAAGGCACTAGAATTAATGGGGGATTGGAAAAGGCTTCCTGTCAAAGGAATGATTTTAGCTGGGAAACCAGCAGAAAGATGTAAGGAGAGGGGTATTCCAGGCAATGGAGACAGCCGGTGAAAATGCAAAGTCAGGAGAGTGAGTATCTTGTGCAAGGAATAGGAGAACTACCTCTGACACTAGCTATGTGACCATGCACAAGCCATTTCAACTCGGTAAGCCTCAGTTTACTCATCTGAAACATAAGGACAACACTGGTAGGACCCACCTCACAGGATTATTGTGAAATTCAAATGAGATAATGTAAAAAGAGGTTTGTAAATATTAAAGTTTCTACCTAAGTATGTTTTTATTGTCCAACTCCCTCATTTAAAAATAAGGAAAATATGACTCAGAAGAGAAAAATAACTTGCCCAAGGTCACACAAGCAGCAAAAGCTCTAAAAGATTCAAGCCAGGCGTTGTTTCCGCTAACCCATAGGTTCCCAAAGTAGGCAATACTACTCCCTGGGAGGTGCTGGAACAATGAGGGGGGCAGTAGTAGCCTTGGGAGCAACTGAGGGGTGTTGAATAAAAATAAGGGTTAACCTAACCTAACCCCAGGGGGGCGCTGACTAATTTTTTTTGAGTAATTTTTTAAAAAGGGGCAGTAGACCAAATAAGTTTGGGAACCTCTGCTCTAGCCCACTGAGAAAGCCTGAGAATCCCACCTATGACTCCTCAAGGGAGCCTGCACTGGAGCTTCCCCGACAGGATCCAGACAATGAAGGAGACAGAGAACCTTGGTTCAAATATTGACTTTAACGCCTGCTATTTATGTGATTGTAGGGAGTTTGCTTCGACTCTCTGGATCTCAATTTCTTCATCTGTAAAATGGTGGAGGGAATCTTAAAATAGATGATCTCTAAGGTCCCCTCCAGGTCCAAATCCTATGACTCTAAGAGTAGAAAGGATAAACTCCCCAACCCATAGTAGGCATGGGACATTGACTATGTACAAGCTGAAAGAATGAATGGTCAGAGAAGAGAATTAAGAAAAGAACCAAGCCAGTGCAAAATAGAAGAGAATATCCTGATGAGGATGAACTATAAGAAAAGATAATGCAGGCAGTGTGTAAGGACTAAGAAAAGAACCTGAAACTTAGCCATCAGGACACTGATTACCTTTTAGGAAACAGTTTCCATTAAGTGACAGCGGAAAGATCCAGATTCCCTGGGTAGAAGAAAAAGTAGGTTGGGAGGCAGAAAGTATAGTCTTCTTCCCAGAAGTTTGTCACTGAAGATATAGAGAAAGAATAGGAAATGGTTTTAGGAGGAAAAACAAAGTCAAAGGAATTTAAGCTACTGGTGCACAGCAGCTTAAATTTAACAATAATAATAAATAGCTAGCATTTATGTGGCGCCCACTATGTGTGCCAGGAACTATAAAGACTTTACAAATATCTTACTTACTCTTAAGGCAAAAAGATGGTAAGTGATTTGCCCAAGGTCACACATCTAGAAAGCGTTTGAGGTCACATTTGAACTCAGGTCTTCAGGATTTCACTGGGCCAACAGCTGCCTCTCAAAACAAAAAAGATTGTTGCATCCTACAGTAGTCAGGAGAGTTTCTCTGGGACTTGTTCTAGGCCTTGTAGGATGTGCAGGATTTTCCTAATAATTTACATGGTGCTTTGTGCATATAATCGGACCCTCACAATAATACTGGGAGATGAGTGGAAGTATCATTTCTCCCATTTTTCCAAATGATGTCAAGAGACTTGCCCAAGGTCACATCAGGTCTGAGGTCGAATTTGAACTCGTTTTCCCAACTCCAGACCTAGTGTTCTACGTGCTCAGAACACAATAAGAAGTTAATAAATGCTTGGTGAATTGAACTGAAGGGAAGGATTTTGTTTTGTTTTGGTTTTTAATATCTTGTTTTGTTGGAAGCGAGGAAGAAAATAGATCTTATTTATACTCAAAAGGAATGGGAATGGAAAAAGATTAAAAAGACAGAAACAATATAATTGATAGAATATAGTCAGTGTGACTAAATGGGACAGGGTGAAAAACACAGTAAAGCTTCTGTAGGTAGGAGGCGTCCAAAAGGAGAAGGCTAAAAGTTTTTATTGTTATTCAGGAAAGGCTTTATGGGCTTACTTTTAAGAGTTTGAGTGGGAGGAAAAAGAAAGCAAACAAAACCAAATACTTAGAAAGCAGAATAAAAAGGACCATAGAGTCTAACCTCTTCATTTTACAGATAAGGAAAAAGAGACCCAGTGAGGTGAAATGTCATCTATGTGGCAGATTCAA